GCAGCCCAGCCGGGTCGCCGCTGTACCCGCACCGCCGCCAACGCCACCGCCTACCGCTCCTGCCCCCCTTGGTGGCGGAGCCAGTCTCGGGCCTCAGCGCCGCTGCGCCGTGGCCCGGGTCATTGCTGAGACGGGGACGCAGGCGAGGGGGGAGGGCCGAGCCGCCGCGCCCCTCTGCGTACAGCCAGCCCGACACCCACACAGTGGCAGGAGGAGCAGGCGCCGCAAGGAGGCCGAGAGATGCCCAGGAGGCCAGCGCGCCGGCCAGGCGTGCGCGGAGGCCAAGACCGACGGACATGCGGAGGACAGACAGGAATAGAGAAGGACAGACACAGGCAGAGAAGGGTAGACAAGTGATTCGTGCGGGGAAGGAGAGGCAGACGGGTTGGACAGAGGCAAGACTGGGCACTTGGGCTGCGGAGCACTGTGACAGGCAGAGCGCAGCGGGCAGTGTGGAGAGCGCGAGAGCAGGCTGGGCACAGCCGGGCTGGGTTGCTGGCAGGGCAGAGAAGCTGGCGAGGCCTCGCGTCCCCAGCTTTAGGAAGGTGAATGCTGGGGCATGCTGGTTGTCAGCCAGACCTGGCAGGAGCCTTCCTCACCTGAGCGCCCCAGCAGGCTTGCTCCCTCCTCCCTTCTCCCCACCTCTGCCCGCCATCCTGGCCGCCCGAACCTTGGGCCTAGAGCTCAGCCATGCCAGATGCAAGCTGCCACTACGGAGTTTAGGGAGGGCAGGGCTCCAGGCTTCTAAGACCTGCTCTGCCCATCCTACTCCTGGGCCTTGGAGGAGTCACAATCCCTCCCAAGGCCTACAGTTATTTGTGGAATTATTTATTTAGTCCCCTCTAACTGGGAACTCTGGTATCATAGTGCCTAAGGCATTTGCTGCTAACCAGAAGGCTGGAGGTTCAAACCCACCAGCCACTTCTTGGAAGAAAGGTTGGGCAACTTCCTTCCCTACTGATACCACTTGGGAAACCCAAGGAGGGGTCGCTATAAGTTGGGTCCTACTCTATGGCAGTGCGTTTGGTTTTTGGTTTAATTGGGAACTCTGGTGGCATAGTACCTAAGGCATTTGACTGCTAACCAGAGGCCACCAGCCATTCCTTGGAAGGAAGACTGGGCAATCGAGGAGTCACTATGAGTTGAAATCGATGCTAGGAGGCAGTGAGTTTTTTTTTTTTTTTTTTAAACTGGAAACTCTGAGGAGCTTTGGTAACATAGTACCTAAGGCATTTAACTGCTAACCAGAAGGCTGGCTGTTCAAACCCACCAGCCACTCCACAGAAGGAAGACTGGGCAATCTACTTCCACAACCACCTCAGAAACCCAAAGTTGCCTCAGAAGCCCAGAGGGGGTCGCTATGAGTCAGAATCAACTTGATGGCAGTGAGTTTGGTTTTTTTGAACTGAGGACTATATGGGGCAGCTCTATTCTGTCATATAGGGTCACTACAAATCAGAAACAACTTGAGGGCATCCAACAACAACTTGACTGGGAGGTCCCTCAGTGTTGCAAATGGTTGGCACTTACCTACTAACCTAAAGCTTGGTGGTTTGAATCTACCCAGTGGTGCCATGGAGCAAAGGCCTGGTGATCTCCTTCCATAAAGATTACAGGCAAGAAAACTCTGGAGTAGTTCCACCCTGTAACACGTGGGACTGGCATGAGTCAGAACCCACAGCATGAAAAAGAGGGTGTTTCGTTTTTGACTTGACTGGGAGCCCCCTGCGGATAGCCTCTGGGCTGTTGAGCTCACCACTGGTACCCAGAGTACATCTGATGAATGAATTGATGAAACTCATTGTTTCCAACCCTCTCGGTAACCTTCAATTTGGTGATGAGGAAATTGGGGCTTAAAGAGGCAAAGTGACTTGTCAAAGTTAAGTTGGGAGGGGCTTCAAACTAGGTCTGTTTCCAAACCCAATGGTGTTCCATCAGCTGGAAAGTGGTGCTCAAAAATAAAACACGGCAGCCGTGGTGGTGGTGGTAGTGGTGGTGGCTTCCTTTGAGTGAACTATTGTGGAAGACTCCAGCCCTAAATCACTCCTCTCACCGTGTGAATATCCCTGCTCCATAAAATCTGGCTTATTCCTCAGACTGGAACCCAGAATGGATTTCCAGCTAGGCTGGGCAGTGTGGGGTTTACAGGAGTTGGAACATGACTGTCTACCTCTGTCTGTGTATTCATCCATCCATTCATAAATACGTATTAGAGTAGGACACTTGGAAAAACACCAAGAAGAGATGGAAGAAAAGAAAAATGAACCATTGTTAATACTGAGATTCTTTTAATTGCATAACTCTACAGATGTCCATAAGTGGAGTGACCTTGCTGACTATAATCTCTCCTCTCCTCTCCTGTGTCACACTTTTAATGGCTGTGTAGCATTGCATCATGTAGGTTGTAATATATTTTATTTAACCAATCCCCTGCTGCTGGGCATTTTGTTTGCTTCCAGTTTTTCACACTTCTAGACAACTCTGCAGTGAACATCCTTGGGGGTAAGTCTTTGTGCATATCTGTGATGATTCTTTATGTCAACAGTAGGTCCATATATTTTTGAAGCTTTCTTCTGCATGGGGTCATATTTATAGGAGAGACCACTTCTGGACACCAGGGAAGAACAGTGTCTAGAGTCTGGTTGGCCAGGAGCAGGCAGGTTGGTAGGAAGGGAGCACCCAGTGTGGACTCAGGACAGTGCGATGCTCTGAGAACCCCCAAGTGCCCAGGCTTTTTGTACTTGCCCTGGGTTGCCCCATGGGGAATCCCAAGGAGTGGTCCTTCTTTCTTTACTTCAGAGTCCAAGATGCCATCCATCCCAAGCAGAACCCATGAGGTGAATATAATGGAGGGGCCTTCTAGGCCTGTTCAGCTTGCACTTGACCATGATTCTTCTGTCCTTTAACCTCTGCTCTACTGTCTTCCCTGCCTGCATGCACTCCCACTCCCTCCATGATGGTCATCTTACCAATTTCATTGTCATGGGATCTTCTGATAATAAGGGTGAAGGAGTTGAGGGGGAAAGACCTTCAGGGTGGTCTCAGGATGGGATGTCTATCTAAAAACCCCACCAGACCTTTTGGGAGGGTTGCCTCCTTGCTAGTATACGTCTCATACAGAATTATGTTGAAAGTGTGTCTAGCATCTTTCCAGCCTTGAATGATATTACGAAGGACGGGGCTTCCTGTATTGCCTTGGCCTTGGAGGTTGAGAGCACACCAATCTCTAAAATAGGAGGAAGATGGGGGAGGGAAACCTGTCCCACCGGCTTTGCAAACAAAGAATTCTCCTCTTTCCCTCTGATATTGATGGTGCTAAGGGGAGATGAAAGGAGGTTCTGTTTTTTGCTTTGGGGAAGACTGGGGGGTGAGGCAGAGACAAGGAGCAGGGCCATCCTAAGGCCCACAAACTCAGACTTGGCCGCTGAAGTGGGTGGGGCTCAGGGACACACCTGTGACACCTGAAGAAGCTCCTTGTGGAGCTCCAGCTCAGGGTTTTGGGTCTGCAAGGCCACCAGGGAGTGGCTCGGCTCCATGCCCCACTTTTCTGCCTTTAAAATGTGTTAATCCTTTAAAACCTGTTAATCCCCATCAGTCATGCCATGATGTTTCGGCTGGCCCAGTGACATCTCTGTCCTGGTAGCTGCAAGTGACTCCTGAATTTCTCTGCTCTTCCGTAAGGAAGACAGCGCTGTAGCTCGAGAGTAAGATCATTCTTCAATTCTAGCCCTAAGCAGAACTGACCATCTTTCAACCATAAGCCCAAATTCCAAGAGAGAATCTGATTGGATGAACTGGATTAGGTGGCTACCCTTGGTCCAATCAACTGTGACCAAAGAGATGGGGTCAGATAGGGCAAACAGGGCAGCTAGGACATATGCATGGGAGCTCTGGTGGCGTAGTGCCTAAGGCACTTGACTGCTAACCAGAAGGCTGGAGGTTCAAACCCACCAGCCCCTCCTTGGAAGGAAAGTTGGGCAATCTACTTCCGTAGTGATACTGCCTCGGAAACCCAAGGAGGGGTCTCTATGAGTCCAGTCTGACTCGATGGCACATAACAACAACAACAGGACATATGCACAAGAAGGGGCTAGTTTTCAGAGAAAGTGGGGACTTTTACACTGGGCAGAAACCCCTGCAGGTGTCTCCTATGTTACTGTAGAGGTTTGTTGGGAACAGGATAATGAATGTAAATATTTGGCACAATGCCTGGTATATGTTGTTGTTATGTGCCGTCGAGTCGGCCCCGACTCATAGCGACCCCTCCTTGGGTTTCCGAGGCAGTATCACTACGGAAGTAGGATTGCCCAACCTTCCTTCCGAGGAGTGGCTGGTGGGTTTGAACCGCCAGCCGTCTGGTTAGCAGGCAAGTGTCTTAGCCACTATGCTACCAGAGCTCCCGCCTGGTATATAGTAAAGTAGTAAAAACCTGTTGCTGTGGAGTTGATTCTGACTCATAGCAACCTCAGGTGTGTCAAAGTAGAAATGTTCTCCGTTGGGTGTTCAGTGGCTGATTTTAGGGAAGTGGGCTGCCAGGGCTTCATCCTGAGGTACCCCTGGATGGACTTGGCCCTCTAGTCCTCTAGTTAGAAGCCCAATCAATGCTTTAGCACTTGTACCGCTCACTCAGGGATGCCTACTGTGTACTAAGAACTCAGTAGATGGTAAACCCAGAAAACCAAACCCACTGCCATCAAGTCGATTCTGACTCATAGCGACCCCCATAGGGTTTCCAAGGCTATAAATCTTCAGAAAGCAGACTGCCTCATCTTTCTCCCATGGAGCTGCTGTTGGGTTTGAACCACTGACCTTTTGATTAGCGCCCAGTGCTTTACTACAGCTTTACTATTACCAGGGAACCGTCCAGTAAATGGTAGCAGCTGTTATTCATTCATTGTCCTGGTGCGTGCCTGGCTGGGACTGGACACTACACTAGATGCTGAGAATGAAGGACCAGGCAAGCAGACAAAGCTTGAACAATGACAGTAATAAAAGAACTGTTTTACAGTGTTGTCAGGATTAAATGAAGTAATACATGCGAAGTATTCAGTTCAGCTCCTGACACGTCGTAAAGTCTCAATAAATGTTGGATACAAGTGTTGAATCTCTAGTTGCAAACGAGAGGAAAAAGACATTCCGTATGGCTCTTCCATTTGTTGTCTGCTCCCCTGGCCACAGGACTGAGACATCCTTGGTTACAAAAATAGACTTTAGTGATCAAAATAATGTCAGTTGCCAGACTGACAGTTTTCAGATGCTGCATTTAAGTCTAATTTGAAAGCTTAGAAAAATAGCATT